TCTCAATTTAAAAAATGCATAATTTTTAAATGCAAAAACATAAATTACATGACACATAACATAAGAAAGGAAACTACAGCCCCAGTTTTTGTTTTTAACTTCTACTATTGTACATTAAAAAGAATCAAATCTGAATACATAACTCAGCTTTTTCCAAGTAAAAAAATTGTATTAAACTTTTTATCAGTAATAATAGTCTTATTCAGCCACTGCTATTTTTATACCCTGTCTCAGAGTATTTATTTATAGCCATTTTAGATTAAAGTTGACAGCTACTTAATTTCTAAAGTTCAGAACAACTGAAAATTCCATAAAGAATGCATTTTTCTTATATTAGCACTGGTTTCTTATCGTATTCAATAACCTTTGTAAAATCTGCTTAGTTTTAAAATTGAATGCTATACTTCAGAAATACAAACTGAAAACTGAAAACTCCAAAATCGAAAGGTTCTATAACAATTTTTCCTCATAAGTTTTGGAGTCAGACATATCTGGCTGTATATCCATGCCCTTCCGATTTTTAACTTTAATTCCTCAAATAAATTGCTTTCCATACTTAAGATAATTTTCCTCATCTGTAAAATAAGAATAATGCTAGCATCTAGTTATTAAAGTCTTGAGCATCAGATTCTGTAATATATATATAATTCTTGATACAGTAAGCACTCAAAAAATGATATCATTCTCATTAGCAGCTGTGACTCAAGGAAGAACATGACTTAGCAGATGCATCAATTTCATCCAAGAAGCTTTAACTTTTCTTTAGCCACAAACACTGTGTTTCACAGAATATGGTTCTAGTAGTTCCTGTGGGCCACTCTGGTCCTATCTTTAATGGGGTGTGGCATCTGAGGTGGCCAGATAATTCTACTGTTTTCATTTATCACAAGCTTGGAAGAGAGCAATCAATCTTCTGCTTAGGAGCCATTTTAAGTCCTATGCCATGAAATCACAAGAAAGGAAAAAAAAAAAAAAGCTAACTCAGGAATGGGCACAAGCAAGCCACTAGAAGGACCAGGTCCAGATATAGGGTTTTATTATTCGAATGGAAAAACCAGAGGATAGATGAAGCAATCCATTTCTCTCAGTAATCCAGTTGAAAAACCAGAAAGAGTACATCAGGTACTCCATTCTCAATCCACTGCACCAACCATGCCTTCTGCAACTTTTACAGCAGAATCGTTTCAGTTTCTGTTTGAAAGACAAATGGTCTTTGATGCTCAGTGACTCTTGGATGAAATCATGTTTAGAACACAGATAAAAAGTGAAAAATTAGAATCCAGAGAGTATTTCCAGCCTTTGTCATTTTATTTCCCATTTGGTTGAAAGTGTACTCACTGAGCATGTGGATAAGGTCTCCTAGATAGTGAGAGCTGATAAAGAAGGAGGAATGGATTAAACATAAGACAGGACACCATTAATGTCCTAGAAGAGAACACAGGCAAAACATTCTCTGACATAAATCAGCAATGTTTTCTTAGGTCGGTCTCCCAAGGCAATAGAAATAAAAGCAAAAATAAACAAATGGGACCTAATTAAAGTTAAAAGCTTTTCCACAGCAAAGGAAACCATAAACAAAACAAAAAGACAACCTACAGAATGGGAGAAAATATTTGCAAAAGATGAGACTGACACGGGCTTAACTTCCAAAATATACAAACAGCTCATACAACTCAATAACAAAAGAAAAACCCAAACAGGCCAATCAAAAAATGAGAAGAAGATGTAAAAAGACATGTCTCCAATCAAGACATGCAGATAGCCAACAGACACATGAAAAGATCTTCAATATTGCTAATTATCAGAGAAATGCAAATCAAAACTGCAATGAGGTATCACCTCACACTGGTCAGAATGGCCATCATTAAAAAGCCCACAAATAAATGCCAGAGAGGGTGTGGAGAAAAGGCAACCCTCCTACATTGTTGGTGGGAATGTAATTTGGTGCAGCCACTATGGAGAACAGTATGACAGTTTCTTAAAAAACTAAAAGTGGAGTTATAACGTGATCCAGCAATCCCACTCCTGGGCATATATCTGGAAAAGAAGAAAACTCTAATTCAAAAAGATACATAACCCCTAATGTTCACAGCAGTACTATTTACAGTACCCAAGACGTGGAAACAACCTAAATGTCCATTGACAGATGACTGGATAAAGAAATTGTGTTATACATATACAAGGGAATACTACTAAGCCATAGAAAAGGATATAATAACACCATTTGCAGCAACATGGGTAGACCTGGAGATTATCATACTAAGTGAAGTAAGTCAGACAGAGAACAACAAATATCACACATCACTTATGTGTAGAATCTAAAAAAATGAGACAAGTGAACTTATTTACAAAACAGAAATATACTCACAGACATAGAAAACAAACTTATGGTTACCAAAGGGGAATGGAGGGAAGAGATAAATTAGGAGTTTGGGATTAGCAGATACAAACTACTATATATAAAACAGATAAACAACAAGGTCCTATGGTATAGCACAGGGAACTGTACTGAACATCTTGTAATAACCTATAATGAAAAAAATGTGAAAAAGAATATGTGTGTGTGTGTGTATACATATATACATATATATATATATATATATATATATATATATATATATATATATATATGACTTAATCACTATGCTATACACCAGAAACTAACACAACATAGTAAGTCAACTATACTTTAATTAAAAAAAAAAATGGAGGAATACAGTTAGGTGATGGAAAGCTCTGGATGTACTTATGGTAATAAATACTATGTCAAATATTTCATAGAATGCAGGATGTCAGAGTTAGAAACAGTCTTAGCATCTAATCCAACCTTCTCAATTTGCAATGAGGAAACTAAACCTTGATTTTAGTAACTGTCTTGTTCAAGGTTATATACCTAATCATGTCAGTGACCCAAAAGCTCAAATTAACTTACAGAGAATACAACATTTTTTTTGCTACAAATATATTTTTTATGTATTTTTTTGATATAAATAAAATGAGAAATATGTGAGGAAAAAAATCTCTGCACCTCATTTTTCCTAGAAGAATTAATATATAAAAAAAGATAGTATCATATATAGGAGTAAAAAATTCATAATCAATTTCACTTAAATTAATTAAATCTAGAAATATAACTTGATTTATGTAACATATTGAAATATTGGACATATCTTTTCAATATATTTTATAATAAATCCACTTGAAGTGTTTCAGTTAATAATTTTTATTCATTTGTATATTTAAAATCAATCATATGACTTCTAAATGAATGTGATAGAGCTTTGTAAACTATAAAATATGATATATAGGTGGATTACTAACAACAGTAACATTTTTTCAAATTGAGTATCTTTTTAGTTTTTAATCTGCATTATATTCTTAAAATTATTTCTTGAAATAGTCTCTATTAACTAAATAGAATGATTTGTAACATTCATGCAATTATTAAAACTTCCATCTCAGTGTTAATATTGAGACAGGAGGGAAGGGGGCAGGGCACAACCACTGAAGGAAGGACTCAGCAACTAAGGACAGGAGGAACTGGTCAGAACCAAGATGGCGGAAGGTTCAACTTCCAGTAGACCTTGAGCCTCATGGCACGTCCGCAGGCGCCATGACAGTTCCTAGGCTGACCATAAAAGGTCAAAAAGTAAGTAGGGCCCAATTCCTGGAAATCCCTGCCCCTTCCTCAAAGTGGTTGGAATAATTCTTCTACTCACTAGCATATGAAATTACCAAGCCCATAAAAACTAACAACCCTGTACCTCATGGTGCTCTCTGTCCTGCCTTCTGAGATGGCTCACACTCTGTCTATGGAGTGTGTGTCCGCTTTTACTTTAAACTAAACACCTCCACACCTCTCGGTCTCTCTCTGTCTCACCTTTTGAGATGGCCCACATTCTTCCTATGGAGTGTGTATCTCTCTTAAGTCTCTCTCCCTTCTGAATGAGATGGACTGCACTCTGTCTATGGAGTATCTAAATAAATTTGTTTTCACTTTTCTATGCTTTGTTCTTGAATTCTCTCCTGCATGAGGTAAGAACCTATTCTCTAGCAACAGTATGTCTGCAACCTAGTTATACTCTTTCAAGGATCAAAATAGTTCTTTGCCTTCTTCTCTCTTTTATTTCATAGGTGATACTGATGTACTATATACATTTGTCTGGTTTGTGTTCCCTTCCCTTTATTATCACTTCAGACAGGAAGGGAAGACTGTATAAGAACCTGGGTCCTGATGCATCTCTGCAAATTTTTGTTAAATTGTGTGTTCTCTACACCAGTTGTTAAGAATTAGTGATTCACTCAGATTTATAAAGGAATCAGGGGTCAGTGTAACTGGAATTTAAATCGCCTATCATTTTCCCCCTCTTTCAGCAGTTTCTTTCTGCTTAGAAGCAAAAATAACCATCTGAAAATCACTGAGAGGCATGATTTACATCTAGAGTTTCAAACCTTTTCAGGTTTCAAAAGCAATATTAAAAAATTTACCTCACACTAAAACTTCATTGTGCTGAGAAAATGTAATTTATTTATTTTGTCTATAACTAATTTGGGCTTCCTATTGAGTTCTCCACCCCCTGGCTGGTGGGGGTAAAAATTAATTTACGGTCCAATCCAGTCTGAATCTTAGTCTGATCTCATAAATTAAAGAGTCTCTTTAGGGAGTGTTCAGTTTCTCTTGGTAAAATAACTTAATCTTTAAGATAGCTTCCTCCTCCTCCTTGCTTCTCTCCTAGGTTGCAGTGTAGTTGCATGGGGGAGAGGGATAGGGCTTAATGGCCTCTGGCAGAGGGAATGTGAGGACCCTGACATGTTAGGTCCCTGACCTCCTCTGGTCTCTCTGGTGATATCCCTTGCTCGCCTCGGGGCATACTGCTGTCATTCAGGGTCAAAGACATGGCTAGCATAACTCGTGATCTCTATCTGTCTTGGTTTTTTCAGAGCTAGTGCCATTCCTGACTAAGTCAAAGGCAGCTCAGTTTGCACTAGCTGTTTACTCCTCATTCTCTCCATGTCCTCCATTGAGCCAACTGGTCCAACAGTCCAGCTCCAGCCTGTGCTTTTGGGTCACCTTTTTCCGCCTTCGAGGGTCCATAGGCAGTGCCACTGACTCTTAATCTAATATCTGATCCAGACAAGAATAAGGTAACTCATTAAAGTCAAACCCTAGGAGTTCAGTTTGCACAGCTAAACTAATATGGAAGTACCTCCAGGATAATGTCGGGACAGCCTGGGAGGGTATTACTTTCCAGAATCCTAAGGGAGGAAAAAGGAGGAAGAACCCCTCTGCTTTCAGGGTTACCCTTACTATTTTAATACACTAATTAGGACCCACAGTTTGGCTGTCATTTACTTAGTAAATAACATGGGTTCTCCTTGTCATAATCCTCTGGGGCCAGAAAAATGCAAATCTTCCCTTCTTGATATATGCATATGCCCTCTGTACAACTCTGTCCTAGCCTGGTCCTTAATATACTAAAGGAGGAAAAGAAGGAATTTACAAGAAAATTGCTTGGATTACAAGGCTTATTTGCTAGCACAATAAGATTTTTTTTTTTGAAATTTTGATTAACTTTTTTCTTTTTTAAAGCTTGCATTAAAAAAAAAAAGAACAAGTACTAAATATGTAACTTCCAAAACAATAATGGAAAAACATCTGGCAGTCAAAAAGAATGCAGGGAAAAAAGGGTAAAAGGAAGTAGAGAAACAATAGGGATAAATAGAAAGCAGAAAATAAGACAGAAGGGGTTATTCAAATAAATAAGAAATCACAATAAATGTAGTTACCTAAATCACCAATTAAAAAGCAGATATTCTCATATTTACTTTTTAAAGATCAGCTATATAATTTTATAAAAAAATAAACAACAACAACAAAAAACACAGAAATGTTGAAAATAAAAGATTAGGAAAAATACACCAGGACATAAACAGCTTAAAAAAATGTACTGATAGTAAGATTATTTAAAATAGAATTAGGGGAAAATAGTAACAGCATGGTGAAAAACACTTAAATTCACCAGAATGATATGAAACTATAAAACCTGGGTGAACATTAATAAATTATCCTCAGTAAGTAAAGAATTGACAGATTACATGCATAGAAGAAACAAATCCAATATGATAAAATTCCTCTAACAAATCTATTTCACGAATTGATAGGTGAAGTGAACAAAATTATAAAGTTTTGAAAGTTTTGATAAACTTAACTGGCAAATTGGTTTATAAGTCATATATTTGTATATTACCCAGTTCTGGCAATTATAGAATCCATTTCCTCCCCAAGCATACAAGAAACATTTATGTGAAAGTAAAACAATCTCTAAGTCTTAAAGCAAGTTTGAAAATCTTTTAGAAAATCAGCTATATAGACTATGCTCTCTTATTTAACTATTATTATTTTAGAAATGAAATAACAAAAAGGTCATTGAAATCATAAACAATCTGTATAAGATAGAGTTAACTTGTTGTTGGTCTCTCATAGTGCTATGGTTATTCCCAGGGACACCTAGAATCTGCTACTGACCCTTGGGCAAGGCAGAGATAAAATGTATCAGTTAGTAATTTTAAATGTGTGCACAATCACATTTTGAAAGTCAAAAGATGAATATCCTCCTTCTTTGCATTCTTTTTGTAACCTTTTTATTTTCCTCTATATCATCACCCCCTTCAGATACCTTTCAGTGTTCTGGGTCACTGAAGGTGGGGATATTGTACTGATAAAGACATGTGAATAATTTTCAATACAGAGTATTGCAAGGGCAGGAAGAAAGGATGGCTTTTCTTTTCTTACAACAAGGAAGATAAGGAAGATCGAAATAGAGGTTTGTTTTTTTTTAAGTAAGAGAGGTGAGATACAGCTAGCGTTATCCAACTCCGCCTCCCCATTCCACTCACCCCTCTACACAATTGCAAACATTGGTAAACCTTTAATTTTCCAGATCTTCACAGACAAAATTAATTCTGCTTAGAGAAATCTCCACTGCGGTATCAGTTGATATTTAAAAGCAAGAAAAATAGGTGGGGAGAAAAATTATATATGGCTCATACATTTTCTTCTCCTCTCCTCCTTCTTGTCCTCCTCCTCCCCACCACTTCCTCCTCCTCCCCCTTCTCTAAATGGAAAGAAGAAACTATTTTAAGAACAAGATATGCAAGCAAATACAATATTCATTTAGGTGACAATTTACCAAATGATTTCTTGAACTTATGTGAAATTATTTCTAAAAACTTCCAAAGGTTAGAATGACACGTATATTTTCTCAGCTGTTTGTTGGTGTGTCACATCTTCCTTCTGTAGGAGTGTACAGGATAAACTTAACAATTTGGGCTATCAGACATTTTCAGAAACAGGCTACTGGTACCTCATTAGTTAAATATGAAAATATCCAACTACCAGTTAACCAATTTAAGAAGTTTTATAATCTTTCATCACTGTATGAAAAATAATCTTACTATCTTGGATACAGAAAAAAGATAAAAATGGAGGTATACTGCATTCCAGTGTCAAGATTCTAAGTCTACAGTGACATGAACCTGGATTCCTGCCTATATCACTTCCTAGCTACATTCCATGTCTGTATATTTTTGTGCCTCTGAGCTGAGTTGAATGGAGGCTGCCCTGAAATGATTAGCATTTGCAGAGGGCTCATAAAATCCTGGAAGTAATCCAGATTCTAAGGAGAAAGCAAAGAGTACACAGAGAAGATAGCATCTGGCCCTGGGGATCTTGCAATCTTGGCTATAAAAGACAGACTTACAAGCAAGATATTACAGTTCCTAGATGCAAGGGTTTTAAGCAAAAGTAAAAATGCACCAAAGATGGCAATGTAGGAAGATCCTGAATTCACCTCCTTGCACAGACACAATGAACCTATAAACATATGTGGAAGAGTTCCCTCTGAAAAGAAAACCTAAAAACTAGCTGAGTGACTCCTACACATCGGGCAAATAAGAAATAAAAACCACATGGAAATGGGTAGAAGAGGCTAAGCCACAATTATTCCATAAACCCCAGCCCTGGCAGGGCCACTCACAACCAGAAGGGAGCTCAAAATCTGGAGCTTCTCCCTGAGAAGTGAAGGGTTTGAACCCAACACTGGACACCCCAACTTTAAGGCTTGCACCTTGGATATGAGTGCCCCAAATATCTAGCTTTGAAAACCAATGGGGGCATCCATGAGACCCACAGGCTATAGCAAACTGAGAAATGGCTCTTAAAGAACTTGTGTGCTGAGGGTTACCCACCCTGGGGCCTCTCATCTGGAATTTCAAGAGGTCCAGGTTGAGGTCTAGGAAGGTGTACGTGCTGTAGTCATGATGCTGGAGGTTCTTGTAAGTGGAGTTGTCAAACGGCTCAGCGGAGTCGGCGGCCTGTGCGGCCCTTTTTGGTGGACTTTGCTTCTTGGGATTTGGTGGCAGTCCCTTTTCATTCTTTCCTGATTCTGCAGAAAGAGAAACTGTAGCAGCAAGTCCTCGAAACACTCGGGCTTCTAGCACGGTCTTCAGCGCCCCCGCTCGTCCTTGCCGCAGCAGAAGGGAGGCCGCCATGGCTGCAGCTCAGCGCGGGCCGGGAGGGCGGAGGTCTTCTCCATCCTCATACAACCAATTTTCAGTATCTTCTAGTTTCAAGGTAAAATTGTTACGATCATCTTCATTCACAAACTTCTCGTATTCACCACTAAGCTTGTCTCTCATTTCGTACACATATTCTTCTACTGCATTCTTAGCATCATTCCTCTCCTTCTGCAGTTTATCCTGCATTATCATCTTACCCTCATTTGATGAGAAGCACCCAGACTTTATGTGAAAGAAGCTCATTTGCTAACCGTAAAGTGTTGGCCCGTGGAGCAGGTATCTAATTGAACATATATCTAAGGGCTTACTGGGATACTATCTGGGACTGGAGGTTGGTGGGTGTCATCTTCACACTCTCCTTTTGCTTTGCTTCACCCAGTGGGTACCTTTTTTTTTTTTCTTCCCTGGTTTACACCATCTTTATACTCTCACTCTGCTTCACTCTAGCTGGTGGCCACCACCTTTGTGCTCTCCCTCTGCCGCACTCCAGATTGACAGTATTTCCTAGAGGGTAGCTTCTACTCAAATTCTGGTGCCCCAGTTTTTGTGGCTGCCACCCAAAGGATGTTCCTGATCAACTGAATCTGGAGGCCAGGGGGGGACTTGTAACCCAGGGTCCCTTGGGGCTGTGACAATCAGAGACAGTTCTTGGCATGCTTCACCCCCAGGGCACTGCACAGACAGCAGACTGAAATAGCCCTACCCCGACCCGAGTCTTTCTGTGAAAGAGGCTTATTTGCTTGTCCTGGAGCCTTGGCCTGAGGGGCAGGCTTCAGATTTTGCACACATACAATAGAGGCCTATAGAGGTGCTCTCAGGGAACACAGGCTGGTGGACGCCATCTCTGAACTCTCTGTCTGCCTCACTACTGCTCACTGATAGATCCCATAAAGGTGTTTATACACTCATCTAGAGCCCTGAATTTTGTGACTGCTGCTCAGGGACACATCCAGATTGCCTGGCTCTGCTGAGTCTTACACTTGCTATTCCACAAGACTATATATATTTGCATACTTTAAAGCCTGCTGCCTGAGAGTCTGGCTTCCAAACAGCCTGAATCTAGGTGCTGACTGAGATTCTCCACTTTGGGACACTGAAAAGTCCTGGCATACTCTCAACTTCAGGGAGCTATTAAAAATAAAATAGGTTGCTTGGACAATCATAAAGGTTTGAGAGGGACAAACAAGAGCTAGGGCAGGGTGGAACAGTAAGTTTTACCTCCTACACGAGGCTACTCCTTCAAGACTGGGAAAGGTAGCTGCTTTAACTGTTGCATTAAAACAAACAAACAAACAAGAAAACACCAAAAAAAAAAAATCCAGAAAGTCAAGCAAAACAAAGAGACAGAAGAATATGTTCCAAATGAAAGAACAACGTGAAACCTCAGAGAAAAACCTTAATGAAAGAGAGATAAGTATCTATTTGATACAGAGTTTAAAGTGATAATCACAATACTCCAATTAACAACAACAACAAAATAAAGTAAATAAATAGCTTACCCCTCAGAAGTTCTGACAGACAGGAATATCTAGGGGCAAGTGGTGCCAGGCAGCAACTCAATCTTTTGCTCAGAGGTCTGAAAGAGCCAGGTGAGTCTTGCAGGAAAGAACCAGTTACCCAATGTTTTCTTGCTGGAATGTGGCTACATTCTGGAAGGAACTTGAAATGGGACAATTCACATCGACAGTCAAGAATAAATGGGATGGAAAGAAGAGGCTTAAATTTGTCTGAAGAAATGAAATAGCCCTTAACAGAAACAATAATATGGAGGATGTGGAGTGGGCTTGTTTCTCAGATATTTATTCTAAAGCATTCCTCAGTTTATAAATCAGATTTTAATGGACAGAAAAATATATATAAAGTGATAGTCACAAAGATGTCCACTGAACTCAGAAGTAGAATGGATAAATATAGTGAGAAAGTTACCAAATAAATGGAAAATATAAGAAGGTACCAAATAGAAGGCAGAGCTGAAGAATGCAATAATTGAACTGAAAAAATATACTAGAGGGGTTCAGCAGCAGATTAGATAAAGTAATGAAAAGATCAGCGAACTCAAAGATGGGCATTGGAACTCACCCAATGAGAACAGCAAGAAGAGAAAAGAATGAAAAAAAAGTGAAGATATCTTAAGGGACTTATGGGACAACATCAAACAGACTAACATTTGTATTACAGGGGTCTCAGAAGGAGATGAGGGGCAGAAGACATATTTGAAGAAATAATGGCTAAAGACTTTCTTAACTGGGGAAGGAAACAGATATTCAGACCCAGGAAGATCAGAAAGTTCCAAAGAAACCCACATCAAGACAATTATAATTAAAATGTCAAAAGTTAAAGACAAGCAGCAAGAGAAAGCAGTAAGACAAAAGCAATTTGTTATGTACAAGGGAACCCCCCTAAAACTATCAGCAGATTTTTCAGCAGAAACTTTGCAGGCCAGAAGAAAGTGGCATGATATATTGTAAATGCTGAAAGAAAAAAAATTCCAACCAAGAATATTCTACCTGGTAGTTTTCATTCAGAATTGAAGCAGAGATAAAAAGTTTTCCAGATATGCAAAAATGAAGGAGTTCATCACCACTAAACAGACCTAAAGGGAGAAATAGACAGCAATATAATAATAGGGAACTTTAATATCCCACCTGCATCAATGTATAGATCACCCAGACAGAAAATCAATAATAAATCTGTTAGCCTTAACAGATACACACTACTATATATAAAATAGATAAGCAACAAAGATTTACTATATAATACAGGGAACAATAGTCAATATCTTGTAATAACCTATAATGGAAAACAAACTTAAAAATGATACATATATATATATTTGAATCACTTTGCTCTATATCTGAAACTAACATGATATTGTAAATCATGTTACAATATTTCAATAAAAATAATAATAAAACAACTAAAAAAAGAAAGTATTAGCCTTAAATGACCTGTTGGATTAGGTGGACTTAACAAATATATATAGACCATTCCATCCAAAAACTGCAGAATACATATTCTTTCAAGTGTGCATGGAACATTCTCCAGCATTGATTATACGTCAGGCCACAAAACAAGTGTTAATAAATTTAAGGAGACTAAGATCATATCAAGCACCTTTTGCAACCACAATGGTATGAAACTAGAAATCAATTATAAGAAAACTGGAAAATTTATAAATATGCAGAGATTAAACAACATGCTACTGAACAACCAATGGGTCAAAGAAGAAATCAAAAGAGAAATAAATAAAATACCTTGAGACAAATGAAAATGGAAATATAATACGCGAAAACTTACGGGATGCAGCAAGAACAGTTTTAAGAGGGAAGTTCATAGCAGCAAGTGCTTACATCAAGAAATAAGAAAAATCTCAGATAAACAACCTAACTTTACACCTCAGGGAACTATAAAAAGAAGAACAAACAAAGCCCAGAGGTAGCAGAATAAAGGAGGTCACAAAGATCAGAGCAGAAATAAATGAAATAGAGACTGAAACAACACAAAAAGAAAAGATCAATGAAACTAAGATCTGGTTCTTAGAAAAAATAAACAAAATTGACAAAGTTTTAGCTAACCTCACCAAGGGAAAAAAAAAAGATTGGACACAAACAGACAAAATTAGAAATAAAAGAGATGTTACAACTGATATCACAGAAATAAAGATTATCATAAGAGACTACTATAAACAATTATATGGCAACAAATTTGACAACCTAGAAGAAACAGAATAATTCCTAGAAATATACAACATACTAAAACTGAATCAGAAAGAAATAGAAAATCTGAATAGACCAGTTACTAGTAAGAAGATTGAATGAGTAATCAAAAATTTCCCAACAACTGAAAGTCCAGAATCAGATGGCTTCACTGATGAATTCTACCAAAAAAAAAAAAAAGTTAATACCAATCTCTCTGAAATGCTCCAAAAATTAGAAGAGGAGGGGACACATGCAAACTCACATAACAAGGCCAGAATTGCCCTGATACCAAAACCAGACAAGGAAACCACAAGAGAAGAAAATTATAGGCCAGTATCCCTAGTGAACATAGATGCAAAAATCGTCAACAAAATATAGCAAACTAAATTCAACAATACATTAAAAGGATCATACATCATGATCAACTGGGATTTAAAAAGCAAACAAAGGCAACAAAAGCAAAATCAAACAAGTAGGACTACGTCAAACTAAAAAGCTTCTGTACAGCAAAGGAAGCCATCAACAAAATGAAAAGGCAACCTACTAAATGGGAGAAAATATTTGCAAATCATATATCTGATAAGGGGTTAATATCCAAATATACAGTTGATCCTTGAACAATATAGGGGTTAGGGGCACTGACTTTCCACACAGTAGAAAACACGCATATAACTTTCTAGTGAACCATCTATATCTGCACTTCTGCATCCTCAGATTCAACTAGCCACAGATCGTGTAGTACTGTAGTATGTAGTCATTGAAAAAGATTCGTGTATAAGTGGACCCGTGTAGTTCAAACCTGTGTTAAGGGTCAACTCTATAAAGAATGCATACAACTTATTAGCAAAAAACCCAACATTCCAATTTTAAAACTGGGCAGAGGACCTGAATAGACATTTTCCCAAAGAAGACATATAGATGGCCATCAGGTACATGAAAAGATGCTTAGTGTCACTAATTTTCAGGGAAATGCAAATCAAAACCACAGTATCACCTCACACCCGTCAGAATAGCTGTCCTCAAGAGACAAGGGATAACAAGGGTTGGTGACAATGTGGACTGTTGTGCACTGTTGGTGGGAATGCAAATTGGTGCAGCCACTGTGGAAAATAATATTAAATAATAGACAAGTTTCTATGCCAATTAGTAAGAATGCATATCACCATATCATCGTACATATATCATTGTGTGTAATGAACGCAAGGTGTACTGTAGTGTTGAAGTTTTAAAATTTATTTGCCCAATTTATTATGTGTGGCTGTAAACAAGGTTTTTAATTCCTTAAGCGGTATCTCACCTGTGATTGAGATTT